CTGACTGGCCTGTAGTTCCCCGGGTCCTCTTTCCTCCCCTTTTTGAAGATGGGAACCACGTTGGCCCTCTTCCAGTCCTCCGGCACCTCTCCAGAGCACCACGAGTGTTCATAAAGCCATGCCAGGGGACTTGCAATGACCCCAGCGAGTTCCTTCAGGACTCTAGGGTGAAGATATGTAGCCAGATATAGGTAGATATCTAGATATAGATATAGATATGGATATAGATAGATATTGATATGGATAGATATACATAGATATATACATATATAGTTAGATAGATTGATAGGTAGATATAGGTAGATAGATCTAGATATGGATATAGATATCTATATTGACTGATAGATAGATATTGATATAGATATATACACATAGATATAGATATAGGTAGATAGATCTAGATCTAGATCTGGACAGATGTAGATAGATATTGATATAGATACATATACACACATAGCTATAGACAGATCTAGATCTAGATATCTATATTGATCGGTAGATACAGGTTGATCTAGGTAGATCTAGATACGGACAGATCTAGGTAGAGATCTATACCGAGAGCTAGGTAGATATACATAGATAGACCCGCAGCCCGCCCCCCTTAGGGCGCTGCCCCTCCGGGCCGGCAGGGGGCGGCGTGGCGCAGGCGGGTGTTTCCGGCCGGCGGGGTGAGCGCGGACACCCACTTCCGGCGGAGGGGGGCGGGGGCAGGGAGCGGAGCAGTTTGGGCGCTGCACGGCAAGATGGCGGAGCGGCAGGAGGCGCTGAGGGAGTTCGTGGCCGTGACGGGGGCCGAGGAGGAGCGCGCCCGCTTCTTCCTCGAGTCCGCCGGGGGCGACCTGCAGGTGCGGCCGCCCCCACCGCCCCGCGCGGGCCCGGAGGAGGGGAGGGACCAGTGAACCGCGCCATGAACCTAATGTCTGCCAGCCCCCCCACCCCAGCGGGTGCGGCCGGGCCCGGGGGTGCGGAGGCTGCACCCCCCCTTCCCACACACACACACGAGCCTCAGGCTGTGTCCTGCGCTCTTTTCCCCACAACGACTCTCCAGACAGGGATTGGCAGGGTGTTAAATGTTACGTCTGCCAGGTGGCACGGGGGGGTGGTGACCTTGGGTGGTGACCAGGAGAGGAGAAGGGCTTTCTCGGTGGGGGTGGGGGAGGGAGCTGCAGCAGGGCCCTGCAGTGCAGAGTGATGGGCCGCTCGTTCGACGGCCCCAATGCCCCAAACCGTACCCTCCAGCCACAGCTTGTGGGAGGGTTCTCCCCGGCCCCAGCTGCAACAGCGGGTTTGCCTGCCCATGCTATTTCCACACCTTTGCTTCTTATCGCTTGATTGGGGTGGTGGCTCCGCAGTCATGATCCCATAGATCCCCGACAGGCCATGGTGGGCAGGGCGACCTGGGGAGAGCGTGGTTGCATGAGGCCCCTGTGGCAGGGCCGTGTTGTCTTCTCTCCTCCTCGCAGACGTGGGTCCGGTGGGAGGGTGCGTTGGGCAGTCGCCATCCTTCATTGGTGCTTCTGCCGTTATTGACTTTGCAGCTGGCCCTAGCCAGTTTCTATGAGGACGGGGGCGATGACGACATCGTGACGCTTCCTCAACCCACGCCCAGCTCCGTCTCCAGGGGCACCGCGCCCAGGTGAGCGGAGCGTTGCCCGTCCTGCCGGCTCAGTTGTCGTGCGCCTGCAAGTTTGGGAGTGGGAGGTGATTGTGGCACATCCATGACGTTGGCTTCGGACAGTTTTCAGAGCACGAGTTCCCTCCTGCTTCATTTTGTAAGCTACATGTGATTGCATGTCTCTGCAGGATGGTAGAGGCTGGTTTACCGCGCTGCTCAAGGCAAAGTTGATTTTAGTTTGATAGTTCAACTAGTTGATCTTGGTGGTTTCCTCTGAACAGGTTTGACCTGCACAGTAAAAAACAAAAGTTTTGTCTGTCTGAGGATGTCAAGGCACTTCTCAAGCATGAATGAATTTGGCCTCATGACATCTCTGTGAAATAGGGAAATGCATCCCCATTTTACAGACGAGCAGAGAGGTACCATGTCACTGTTCGCTACTCTGAGACACGCAAATTTGGGGGTCTCAGTCCAGATGCTGGTGGGTACGTGTTCAGATGGCAAAACCCAGCCTTTCAGTTAGTAGCTGAGTTAGGAACTGCAGTAGAAATACTACAGATCAGTGGGAAATATTACTGATTGCGTTAGGGACCTTTGCTAACCTCCCTAATGCAAGTTATAGATTCACAGACATTAGGGCTGGAAGGGACCTCGGAAGATGGTCGAGTCCAGCCCCCCGCCTGAAGGCAGGAAGTCAGCTGGGGTCACAGGATCCCAGCAAGATAGTTATCCAATTTTTTCTTGAAAGTGTTCAATGTAGGTGCTTGAGCCACCCCTGCAAGTTAGATGGCATGCAGGGTTATTTGCATTATTGTGGATTGTTCTGCAGATAAAGCTTCTGGTGTGTCCAGTATGCTAGCAGGGAAGATGACTGAAGATTTGTCATATGATCTGTCTAGGATGCTAACACCTCATAGATTTTGTAGTTGTCATAGATGTTAGAGCTGGAAGAGACCTCGTGAGGTCATTGGGTCCAGCCCAGCTAGGGTCAGATTACCTCAGCAAGATAAACATCCAGGCGTTTCTTAAACGTATCCAGAGTTGGTGCTTGCACTGCTTCTGGGAGGAGTCTATTCCAGACTGGCGGTTTGGACAGTAAAGACATTTTTCCTTACGTCCAGTCTGAAACGGTCTTCCAGCAGTTTGTGACAGATGAGATAGGCAGACGTTCAGTCGGGATGTTTCAGCCTCTTTCACCACTCAGCCATGTCAGGAGGTCTCTGAGACATCAGTGTGATTCTGTGGTCTGATGGGGTGATGAATCAGACCCTAGGTGACTCAGGACCTGGTACTGACACAACGAAGGCCCACGGGAATTGCTCTGGTCCCATGCTTCTTTTTCTTGTCCTGCTCTTCAGACCTTCATAAATCATAAAGAAGCACAACTCCAGTTTTTGTCCCTTGACCTCTTGGGTATGATATGGTTCGTATAGGAGCATGCACTGGTGGTTTGTGTTGCAGTTGGGGACAGAGTGAGCAAAGTGTCTGTTATCCTCTAACAGTGACTAGGTGATCAGCAGTCCCTTCTGACTTGCCACTTGCACAGATTACAAGGGATATTTAACTAGTGCAAAACCTGAAGACCACTGAAAATACTGTACATGCTCTTTTGTCCCCTGCCACGCACTGGAGTTGAAGTCTAGTAGAAGTTGGCCTTGTGGTCTGATA